AATTTTTATTTCAAGTGGCATTAAAAAGTCTTAAAAAGTCTTGAGTTTAACTTGCCTTATGCTGTAGGAACCCTGCTACTAACATGTGTCCCCATAAGTCTTGCCTTATCATAGGTATATGGCTCCCCCTAGAGGTATTAACTATAAACGTTAAAGACAGTCAGTATATCAGTATATCTTGACGAGGATCTCACTAAAGAATGATCAGCATTAATTCAGAGATTCCATTGTTTATAGGGAAAGAACTGAACAACTCTGACAGGATATGAGATTTATTTGTTTTTAGTTTGTTTATTATGAGCGACATGCTTTTTAAAATTTTATTTATTTAATTATTTTTTACATTACATGCAGAAATACTGAAATTATTTTCAGATTAGCCATAAATAGATTCAGAAATTCTGTGGTGAAAAAGGAATTAGATCAGGGTTAGGATTAGTTAAGTGATACCAACCTACTGGTAGGTTGGAGACACAATCTGAAGCCATTCTATGGGACTGATAAATGCTAATAATGGCCATTTATTGGGATGATAACATCCAGAGCAGCTGCAAACAGACACTTAGTATTTATCATGTAATGGAAGACAAAGGCCGTTTCTCAATTCACTAGAACGCAAGTACGGACTCGTGTCCTCGCCAAGTATGTTCTTGAGAAGAACACAGGAAAAGTCTGGACTCTGGGAGAACAGGAGCATGCAGCATAAATATGGGTCAATTGGAACAGAAGCGTATTGATGACGTCCTCACAGCAAGTCGGAGGCTGCATTTCACCTCCTGTTATTAATAGTCTCTGGATAATAATAAATTCAGACTTTTCATTTAGTGGGGGAATAATAATTAACACAGTCAGATAAACACAAATCAAATGAACATTTTGCCAAATAATAGAAAAATATCGCTATAGACAGCGGTACTTTACATATGGCTATGCTGAGAGGGGGTTGCTGTAAATGGGCTGGCGTTAGCCTCTGAGCTCTGCTGGTTGCAGCAGTTCTCTCAACTTCGGAAAAAAAAAATTTAATTATGCATTGAATCGATAAATGGACCATATAGTGACACTTAAAAGAATAATGTTCTCGCCTCAAATTATCTTAAAACGTACTTTTATTGAACTACTCTGAGCTCCATTAAAAGCTGCTGCTGCAGTGCATGCTGGGACATCTGTCAATCTCAAGAACAGACAAGTCTGCTCTGATGCATGCTGGGTAAATAGGGAGGAGGGAGAACAACATCCGGGGACTTAGTCTGTTCTTGGTCTGCTGTTCTTGTCAATTGGACCAACACTAGGGCTGAGGCTGATGACGTTTCACGAGCACATGAGAACACACAAGTACACATATTGAGAAACAGCCCCAATCAAACTGAGGAGGAACCCCATGAGATGATGAGCAGATCCTACCTGTAAGAACGTTTTTAGACTTAATTTTCTCCTGCTGCCAGGCGATTTCACCTACCCATAATACATTGATCCATTATCATTACAGCAGTAAACTAGTTTTCCCATGATGTTATTTCGGTTACAACCACATATGGCAAGCCATTTTGATATGTATTAGGTTGACTGTATATGTTTTTCTGATATATAAAAAAAAAACATTTTTTTTTCTTGTCAAAATAACTATTTCAAACAAAAGGAAATTCTTCACATCTAGACTAAACTTTCTGGATGTCTAGAAATTAATTATAGACCTCCATATTCCTATTGTTACTGGTCATCATTGGTATTATTTTGACTATGAAGAAATGTGTTTCAGATATAATAAATGTCAAAACAGCCACTTAAAATGTGTCAACATTTCTAGATATATGAAATGTGTTCCTTTCTAGTACAATTAGTTTATTATAATTTATGAAATTCAGTTTCTGCTTCAAAAATGTAATTTAGAAATCTGTTATTACAATTCTGATTAGGAATGTGATTTTGACCAGGAATAATCCTATTGTAGTGATCTACAAATTGAGCAACAGAGAGGAGTGATTTTAATAGATGTCAAATCGGCCTGCCATAGTCACTACATATAAACCTACACACTAACTCAAGAAGCAATATTCTCCTACTCCATCCTTTTCCTCTTTGCAGCTGTAGTCCTGTTTGTCTGTCTTTAAAACACTTTGTCCAAATAGTTTTTTTCATTTCTGCGTTAAAATCTGTTGTTCCAGTAGTGTGAAATAGGCACTTCCTGTTGTCTGGTCGAATCAGGCTCCACTGTTAACAGCTTTTTACACTTGTTATGCATCTGCTCACCTCTGAGTGAACCTATTTAGAGTCGATCAAACCTCTTCAGAGCAGCCTTATTGATACCAAAAACTGAGTTTCCAACCTTAGGTTAGATTATTTTAGAGTTTGGCATTTAAATCGAAGTTTTTTTTAAACCTGCTTTGTGAAACGGACCCCTGATCAGTAATGGATGAGAAAACCATGTGATGCTTCATCCACCAATTACATCATGTATTTTCTTCTGTAGATGGTAAATAGTCTGTACTTGTATAGTGCTTTTTTTCTTCCAAAAGGACTTGACCAAAGAGCTTTACACTACATTCACCCATTCCCACTGATGGTAGCAAACTACATTGTAGCCACAGCTGCCCTGGGCCTCACTGACAGAAATGAGGCTTCCCTACACTGGTGCCACCACTCCCTTCCACCTAGGGTGACCACCTGCTTATAAGCCCAAGGGGGGACAAGGGGTATGTTTCTGAGGGACAAAGTGGGACACTGCTTGGTGCAGCGGTGCCCCCACCTCATGGGCAGACTCACTGATAGAGGTTTACACATTTCTAGCTCATACCACCTTACATGGTATATTAATGATG